TCCAATAGTCCATTTGACGTTATACTAAGGAAGAAAAAGATCAGAATAGTGTGAATCGAATCCACATCTATTCTCAGCAGTACCAGTAATCTAAAATTTGAAAACATCATTCGCGATAACAGTACTAGTATTTACAATACTCTTTTCTGTGTTTGCACACACCAATTTCTGCAGGAACTATTGAAGAAAAAGGCTTACCGTAATATATTTGTACAGGATTTCGTTAAAGTATACATCCACTTAGAAAGAAACAATAGCTTTAAACTAGGTGAATTCAGGATCTAAAGTCAGTGAATTCAGAATTACAGTTTTATGCATACATTTTAATTTGTTTGCATATGCATACATAACTCGATTAAAAGGTCCAATTGAATTTGAGAGAATCCGACCTAGATCCATGTTTGAGCTTGAATATTAATTGATCATCAAAACATAGCAATACTAATCTTAATTAATATCTAGGAAGACCATTTAACGCACCTTTGGTAGCCAAACCAGTCATGAACAGAACATAACATTCTTTAAGACTAAATTTATGCGAAAAAATACGACCCTTCTTGACTTTGAGCTGAATCTTCTTCGCTAATTGTTTGCTCATAGTATTCGTCTTTGTCAACTTGACATTTTCTTCAGAGATTTCTGGCTCTTCTTTAATCGTTTCGAGTTTCATCTTCAGTATTTCTTCAATATCAAGTATTGGTTGAGTCTTGAAGTTCTTTGATGATCTGCTTGTACATGATGGCACCACCCACCACATTTTTCTTGATCCTTTTCTCATCAATTATTTTCTAAACTCAACTTAACTTTGATGAATTTTAAGTGATTTTCTCTTTATATGATGATGATAAAGGAACTACACCAGAAGGTGGTCAAGTTTTTTTATTAGTTGAAAAAGTAGCCTAGAAGGCAAAAACAGGGGACCAGTTCAAATTTCAATAACTAATGTTTACTGGCTTGGTTATCTTTACAACTAGGTGTGATCATAACAGTGGTTTCTTTAAACACATTCACTACAAAAATATTAGTTTTTCTTTAGTGACAATGTTTAATTATATATAACCATCAGACAAAGATGATGTGAAGAGTCCCACCGCGGTGGTTCGGACAAACCTCTCTTCATTAGCTAACTTTTGGAGGTGAAATTAGATCCAAAATTCATTTCTTTTATCAAAGCATAACTTGTCCTGATTCTTGTTTTCTGATTTTGGACACCTATATTAAATTGCTTATCCAGCATATATCCGGTCCTAGACGTGAGGGGTTGAGTTTGACGTAAAATCCCTCTATTGAGTTAGTCTTTTGGGTTAAGTTGATCCCGAGATCTCTAGTTAACCTAAAAAAGATATACTCCATTTGTCCTATTTTATGTACCACTCCTTTCTTTTTAGTCTATTAAAAAAAGAATGTCACTTTATTATAATTAGAAACAATATAAATTTGAAATTCTCCTTTATCCTTTAATGAAATGATTTACTCACCACACAAAAATTTAAGGATTATTTTAGATCACAAGTTTTAAAAGTCTTCATTTTTCTCTTAAACGTAGTGTCAAGTCAAACAGTGACACATAAAATGGAACGAAGGGAGTTATAAATAACTTGCTATATTAATATTTTTAATTTTCTTTATATTGTTGGTGTATTTAAGTTAAATTATTTTGTGTGTATTCTCTATCAACACAAATGTGTCTTTTATTAAACTCAGACAAAATCATGTTGCATTACTTATGTCTCAACGTATGATTGTTTCTTTTCCTTCTTCCTTTTTAACTCTTTTTCCTTTTATAAAATCTATTTATTTTATTATCTTATCTGCAATCCAAAATGGAAGTATACGTCAAAGTTAAAAAACTAATGTCTATTTGAAGATGTCAAGAGAAAATACACGTAAACAAATTAGTTTTCTCTAACATATATAGATATTACTATACTTCTTTTATAATTGTAGTACATTAATTACAAACTTATATGTCAAAATACGAGTGTTAGGTATTGAAGCCACCAAACCTGAATAAAAAATATAATGTTTCGTGAGTTATATTTTAATTTTTAAAATTATGACCAGCTTAAACTTCTTCCAATATTATTAAGACTTGGTAATTCGTTGAATCTATCCAACAATATTTGTGAAGTATTTATATTTTGAACTGTACCGATTTGAGTATTGAGAAAGACACTTTTTAAAATGAGTGTTATAGTTGCTAATTTGTGTTTTTTTGTTTTGTTAACCAAGTCCGCCACTAAATTGTCAACGGCAAGTTCTGCAAAAACTTTTTACTACAATGATCTCTTTAATCAGGGGAATTTGTACAAATGACCTTTACCTTTTTGAGGTCGATAACAATTCTCACTATATTAATAAGAATTGGAACAAGATTACAACTATATATTTGTAATAACAGTACTCAAATTATCGAATTATGATGAAAATATTGAAATTACACGTAACTAAAGGATAGAGACATGAACGGGATGAGAAACTCAGACTATAGAATGAAAATGAGAAAAATTTAAACTATTTACTCAACAATTTGCATAAGACTATTTTTCCTGAAATGTGTTGTTTATTAACTTGGACCCACAGATAACCCCTTAATATGGTATTGGGCTGCTTCGCTATAACTGATCTTGGTCCATTCATAACAAGACCACTATTTAAATATGGGTAAATTTCATACTAAATAAAAATTACGAAATCACTTTTATAGCATGAATTTACCATATTTTAACTTATGAGGAATGGATTCAAAGAGTGACATCAAAAACAAGAAATTACATCCAGTAACCTTTAAAAAAAAATTGGTGATATTGCTCATGAGGAAAGCTTTAAAATCCAAAATCAAAAGTTTTATCCATGGAGTAAAAATTGTTAAACTAAATGTATGCCTAAGAGTTGAAGATCACCTACTTTTAAAGTCATTTTTATAAATCACCCCATAAAACAAAGACCAAGCAATGCAAATCAATCAATCCCTTTGATCAAAAGATTATAGTAACCTTTAAGCCCTACAACCAAAACCCAAACAAAAACTAGAGTTAAAGCCCAAGTTGCCAATCCCATTTTGTCATGATTTTGTTGGTATAAATATGACCCAGCAATCATTAGCTAACTTGGCAAGGGTCCACCACTTTCGAACCCATACCTACTAAACCAGTTTTGCTCTATTATTAATTATTAGGACGTCAGCACTTTTGTATTAAAACTATAATAATATTTATTTAAATAAAATAAATCAATGTTTTGTATGGGAAATTCAACAATTGTTTTCAACTAATAATTACAAGCATAGCCAACCCTAATTTTCTTTATATCAATGTACTAAAAATTTCTTTAAGTTGCGCCTAAAAGTTGGCCAAGTTAATTAGGTGGGGTGATAGATAAGTGTAAGAGCAAGTATATTCCGTGTGTTCCGTCAATTAGGGAAAGAAAAAGGAAAAAAGGGACCGAATTGGCATTGAACAATTTTTTTGAAACATAAAAATAAGCAAAAAAACAAATATACCAAACAAAAAAAATCAAATTGTAAATTAAAATATGTAATAAGAACACTTGATCATGTGTTAAAGTTTTTAATTGAAACAAATCTTAGTGCAAGTGTCCACATAATTTGTTACCAAATTTAAGAGTTTAATAATGTTGTATTGATATCATTGACTAGTGAGTAATTTTTGAATAAGAAATCTTAATGATACTAATACAGTATATATATATATATATATATATACTATATTAGTATCAGTTAAGAAAAATTATCAGCATTAATGATATCAATACAGTACTATATGATTCAGTATCAATTAAACGAAAATTATTAGTCTTAATAAATGAGAGGTATGGACTATAATTTTTTTTGAAAGAATAAGTATTTCTTGAATTATTTTAAACTGGGATATAAATATATAATTATTTTAAATTTATGACCCATTTATGTAGTTTTCCAAAAACTTATCCCGAATGGTTTGGCCGAAAGCTGCATTTCTTAACACAGGGGATCATTTAGAAATATCCGGTCATTAATTTTTGTGTTAACTAATAAAAATCTTTCCATATGAAAAATAGAAATGATCAATCTTAATTCTCTATACTTGTATTTTTTAAAAGAAAAATGGTATAACATAACTATCAATAAAGTTAGTTCCATATAATTCTACTCATGACTATACTTGTATATATATTATCATTCACCGTACATTAATTAATATATTAATATTCTTTTACCAAATAATTAGCTTGTACGATAAGTCTCTAAAGTAAATGTTCTGAATCAATTAATCTTACTCGAAATAAATGATTTAGATGTGTGTCTAATATGGAGGAAAACATTTTCCTTCGTATTAAACACACCCCTAATTCTTATTCATCTTCTAAAAAAGTGAATATCTTATTTTATTTTATGATTATTGTAATTCTGATTTTTTTTTAAATTTAATTTACCTTCAAGTACCAAAATGATTTTATGAAAAATTGATATTTATATAACTCCATTTCTAGCGAACCATATAGATTTAATTTAATTTCCAAAATCCCTAAAAGGGAAAAAAAATACTTTATGTATCTCTAGGAGTATTGTCCAGTGTACATAAACAATTATTTAATTCTAATTGTGTAAGCAACACGTGGCACCAGTGTGTAGCTAGAGAAATCTATTATGATTAAACTTCTTCACAAATTAAACTACTCTCATGAGCCGGGACAGAAGTCTCAACCAAACAACAAAAAATATTTTCGTATGATTTATAAATTTATGAATTTAAATTGTAAAAGCAATTATATATATTTTGTGAATTAGACGGCCTATAAGGCAATCAAGTATCAAGAATTAATCTCCGTCAATAAAAATTGTTAAATACCTACCATGAAAATATAAGGAAAATAAATAAAAATACTTAACACGTAATGAATGTGATCCAGCTGTCAAGTAGTTAAAGGGTTACCCGTGAGCAAACCCGACAAATTTGGCGTCAGTAACCATATCCTGCAACTCCCTTTTCTCTCTCTCTTGTTTCTTGTTTCTTGTTTCTTTCAATTCAATTCAAATTCTCACAACAGTTTTTCTTCTCTTTCAATCATACACACTCTTCGTCATCCACTATCTGCAGAACTGCACTTACAGATACTTTCGTCATATCCCAATATACCCCACACATTCATGATTGTGGTCCTATTCTTTCTTTGATTTTACTTCTACATTTTTATGTCTGTTTCCACCAACAATCAACCCAGTACTGTTGATGGCGGTGGGGGAAGCGGCGGCGAAGATGATGCCGTTGGTGGTAGTCGGTGTAAGGAGACGGATGATTCAGAAGAAGAGGAAGGCGATAACAATAAGGATTTTAGAAAGAATAAAGGGAAAAGGGTAACTTGTTTTCGGTTTAGAAAGGTTAAAAGTACGTTGTTGAGGAGGAAACGAAAAGGGGTTTCTGGAAATTCGGAGAGAAGAAGGGAAGGAAGTGGCGGAGGAGGAGGAGGAGGGTGTTACTTGTGCTTGAGGAGACCGCTGACTTCGGATTCAGGCGGTGAGTCACAAACAAGTGATCCTAATAGCCCCAGTTTTACTTATGAGATGTTAAGAGTTTTGATTGAGAAGAATGATTTTTATTCTAATGAATGCAATCCCCATTTAGATGTAGAATCTAAGCCCTGCTCTAATCAAGATGATAAAGATAAATGAAATGTGATTAAAATAAAAGGAGAATTTTTGGATGATAATGCAATTTGATTCCTTGTGTTGCATTCTGGGTGAGTATAGAACTCAGAGGCTTCGAAATACCAACAATTTGTGCAATCGAGTGAGAAGTATTAGTCATGGCGGCCTAGTAGTTCTTGGTTTGTTTTGAGTCATTTAGCAGTCAAAACACTGTATTTGAACTCCGAAGCTCGAGGGGGTGAAATAATTCTGTAGTTTTAGTTTGTGTTTATTGTGTCTGGTGTATGATTCTCAATTTGGAGAGTTGAAAATCATTTCTATCAGATTGAGAGCATAGCTATTAGAAATTCGGAATAGCAATCCGAAGGAAAGTTACATTTCTGGGTAATTTTTTTGACTTTGAGAATTTTCCTATGTGGAATAGAAATTTTCAGAAAGTGGGACGGGTTGGATTTATATTTGAAAAAGATTGAGGTGAAGCCAGAGAAACTGTCCATCCAATTGCTCTGTGGTGGATGACAACTCGAGTACGAGGTATAGAACTTGATTGAACGAAACTATTCTTTATGCAAATAAATCAGATTTTGCAGTGATCACCTCTTGTAGCAACCATAATCTTGTAATGTTCTACTTCAATTGTGTTCAGCATTTAGTTTTTAGAGCCATAATTTGTAAAGAAGTACCGGCCACAGTTCACATTGTATATGAAGGTGGAAATATTGCATATCTATGAATCATGTAATTGCTTTTGATGTAAAGCTTTACTTTGAGAAATTTTGCCAGTTTTCTGTCATGTTTTATCTTCTTTTGGTTTCTTGAAAAGATGTCAATGATTGAACTTTTTTTGAACTTGATAAAACATCATGGTGGATCATGGTGAAGCCAAACATAAGAGCAATATGGCCTTATGGCGAAACAGATGGACCATAAAATCCCCATGTTATCAAAGTTCATTGTGTTATAGCTGTAACTTAATATGATAACAAGCGTATCTAAGGTTCATAATTGGTGATAAACATGAACTTTACTATGACTTATATATAAGACAGAATTCTGAAAAAACTCTTATTGGGACCTTGGAGTGAAAAGAGCTATTTTTCTTTCACACTTCACGGGACCATTGTTTCCTCAAAAAGGATTTAGCATTTGCATTTTCTCTGTGTAACTTGCATGCTAAGGATGGTGATGTTGTAGAAGAATCTGTCAGAACACTTTGTACATTCCTTCCTCTCTGTATTTTGGTATCAGCGTATAAATTTGAAGTGTGGTTGGTCACTGAACTGGCCTTTGCTTCACAACCTTATTTGAAACACCATGCTTTGTATGTTTAAAGCAACAACTTTATTGTGCTTGGTATAATTAAGAACTTTAGGCAATCCGATGTTCAGTGTCATAAAATTGATGGATAACATAAGTGATGGTGACTTCAACTTTGGCCGAAGGCATTGCTAGGAGAGGATACCAGAAATTAGTATGCGTAGAAGGTAAGCGTAGCTTTGACTGGAAGGATGATCTTTGCTTTATTGTGTGTATGAGGTACAACCCGATTTTTTGCTGGTGGATACTTTGCTGGAAGGAAATTGCTAGCAACGTATAACATAGACATTTAAGTCAAAGTTCTTTATTTCTGTCTCCATGGATCTATATAATCTTCCCTCCAATTTAATCTATGCTTATGTAAAAGTTCTTTTAAATATTCTGGTATTGAAATTGCCATGTTATCTTATCACTTCTCTATTTTGTCACTGGTTATTCTGAAATACCTTCAGTCTAGTTTCAACTTGTCATTTGACAGTACCTATGGCGATCCCTGTTGATGTTCCCTTGGGAATCAACTGTCACAGGAATCTCGATTAAGTCAACTTTTCTTTTTATACTAATTCATAATAGAGGATTGTGCATTTCAGTTATCCATCTTCTAAAGATGTTTCTCCAGAATCATAGTAAGCGTCTGTTAGCATCAAGTTAAAGGGTGGCTACTTATGAGCCATGCCGAAATTTGCCTATACCAATGTTCAGGTCTTTCTTTTTTGCTTCTATGGTTCTTACTTCATTAAGTGCAGAAATTTCAGGATCCTTTTGATGAAGCTGTTGTGACCCTTGTAATGTTCTTTAAGGAACAATTTTATTTTTTTCGTCTTCAGAGAAACTGCTGATCATTCCTTAGGGCCCTTTGTAATGAAGCCATTGTGACAGATGGTTGTCGAGTCATTAAAGAGATGACCGAATCGAAGGTATTTGAAGTTTGAGAAAAGACATCCTTCGCAAGATGCTGAATCATTACATCTTTTTCAAGAGAAGTATGCTTTCAGTCTCTCTCTTTATTCAGCAGAAAGAATAAGATGCTCTAACATATTGATTGTGCAAAGCATAGAGTAATTTCGAATAGCACTTTGTTAAGAAAGATCCTTAGATGTCAAAATCAGGTTGGCTGATATGCAGTTGCAGGATATCTGTTCATTTTGTTTCTTCTAAATTTTCAATCAATAAGTTTCTGTCCCTGCAGTGTTGATTTACTTCATTACATGACTGATTTGTGGTACTTCCTGAAATTGAATGCTCACTGAAATTATTGAAGAAGACTGCATTGAAAAGGAAAAGTATGACTTCTTAATTTCTCAAAAAAGGAATACAATGAAATGAAAGCAGAGAGATAACCTCTCTATCTCCACGAGGTTGAACTCTATTCTCTCCAAACAACCCTCCACTTGCTTGTCACATGATTTATAATGACGTTTCTTTAAATTAGCTTGAAGCACAAGAAGAATCCATTAGAACCAGTATGCTGCTTGTTAAAATTCTTGGAGAGTAAGATGCAGGAAAATAAAATAGAACGGTTGTGTTCTCTAACATGTTTTGCTAGCTTATATGCAACATGCAGTGTTCTAAGTCGGTGTAGATTTCTAGTCATTTTCTCATTGCAAAAGCAGGTCATCAAGTATAGATGGGATAGGATATTCTTTTGATTAGTTATCCCACTGGATTAACTAATATTTCAATTCATATATGGAATTGTTTGATTCCACTTTCTGCATGGGGAATTGGGGACTGGGGTACTCAAATGTGGATAAAATAATTATATGATTAGTTAATATCTCAAATTAAGCTAGTATTTCGCCCTAAGTTCATCATATGTTTGACCCCAAAATTTCTCAAAAATATTTGACTATTTCAAAAATTATGATTTATACCCATAAATTTTTATTATCATTTTATAATGAATATGTTCCGTTAAAAAATAATCTTGTAGTATAATTGATTACAATCAACAATAACAAAATAACAATATAGGCAAGACAATACATTAATTGCATACTCAAACTTGTCACTGATTCAGTTATAGTTAGAACTTATTAAACACAAATTGTTCCTTTTTCTCAATTTTATCACTCAAAGTAGAACTCAAACTTTTTCGGAGGCGGTAGTAAAAAATATTAGTTGAAATTAATAAAGAATGAATATTTTTTATAAAATATAAAAGTTTGAGGTATTTTTTTTTAAAAAAAATTCTCAAATATTAGAACTTGGCCCAAATACTAGTTTTTTTTTCCTAGTATTTGGGAACTTGGGATACTTGGCAAATATATTGGTCAAGTTATATAATTAAACACCACTTTTCAAGTTTTTTCCAAGTATTTTTGGGGCCAAACGGGTCCTAAACATGAATAAAGTTAGAGTGAATCTCAAATTTTAACTTCGGATTATCCTTATTTGATGTATCAAACCCATGTAGTGACTAGTGTTGAATAAAGAGTATTTAGTAATGCTGAGATTAATAATACAAATATTAGTTACGTTGAAATTATTTCTTATTTTATGGTTGGTTTGAAGTGTTAAAATAATATGAATTACATAATTTCTAAAAGAATTTTGTTTACGAAAATACCTAGTTTTGTACCATTTCAAAAGGCAATTGTCTTTAACCATATTCTTTCAAAAGTGTACTAAAAATATATATATTTGGTGACAAGTAATTTGTGTTTAGCCAATAAATATTAAAAGCATTATTTTGAGATATTTTTTTTAAATATTGAATCAAACTTTATAAAAGTGCTTCATGTGTTTTTTCAAAAATACATTAGCTTCTGCTATCGTTCAAAATACTTACTTACCTATTTTTCGAAAGCTTAATCGAAGTAATGTAATTCATACGTTATTTTCTCCCATACCTATTAGGAAACGACTCTAATCGCTTAGCAAAACTTGGCAAGCAAAAATAGGGAAAACCGGTCAAAAAGATAAAATTAGTAGAAGAAAGGAAAATTGGTTATTCTATCCATAAAGTAAAAACCCTGCGTTGTAGTGTCTACGCATAAACCTTCTTCGTTTGCCTTTGTATTCTCTTTATTTACCATTGGCGGCCGCTGGTTTAGTCTCCTCTCTCTCTATCCCTTAACGTAGTATTAATTCCTCATTCCTCTCTTAGCTGTGGAGATATTTTGTAGCGGCGGCGAGTGATGGAGCTGAAACTATCCTTCCCTGCGGATTCTCCGCCTTTGGCTGTCATTGCGGCGGCGAAGATCGCCGGAGTTCCAATCTCTACTGATCCAACTCTTACTCCTGGTTCTACTCCTATTATACATCTAGATAATGGGTAATTTATCAATTTCTCCGCTATTTGCCCAGCTTTTCGCCTATTGATTTGTTTTCTTTTTCCTGTACGATTTTGCTTGCGTTTGTAGTTTTCTCGTTATTTGTTTGTTGTTTTTTAAAAAGACTTAGGGATCGTTTAGTTGGGTTGGTTGGGCAACAAGTTATTCCGAAATTAATTATCCTAGCATTAGTTATGTCAATATTGCTTATCCACCCTCAATCTGAGATAAAAATAACACTACAATCTTGGGGTAACTAATCTCGGAATAAGTTATCCTGCTATTCGCGGGATTAGTTGTCCTTCATCCATCGTACCAAACGAGCCCTTAAGGGCGTCTGGAAGATATCTAGTTACCATTACTTGATGAGACATAGACTAAGGTAAGTTTTACATAATAAACGTATTATTGTCTTTTTTGATGGAGATACGGTGAGTTAACCTAGGGATAGATTTAAATGGTGTTGTCTGAACATATTATGAATATAAAGCAGCAGCTTTGCTAGATAAGCTATAGAGAATTGTTTCCTGCCTTTTCGAGAATGGTGATTGTATGTAAACAGTGAAATTTTAGAACATTGTTATGGTTGGGTCATGCTTTGACCTGTCGTTGGTTCCGGGATTGGTTAGAAACGAAAATGTGAAAGTTATTGTTGTGCTAAGGGTCTATTGGTGGCTTGCTTTTCTTCGAACCTATTGTCCGGAGTAAAATAACCATTAACCCTATTTTTAGGATGAAATTATATCAGACTGATTGAAAACTTATGAGGGTCTGCTCAGTTTGCTGGTGCATGTGGCATCCTCCACTAATACATATCGGGTTGAAAAACCGCAAAAGAATTCATTTCTGTTAATTGTTTAATTAGATGAATCTCAATAGTCAATAGTGATATAGCCCCTTGATGTTATTTCTCTATGCATATCATGGTGTTTAGAATAACCAATTGACCATATTTTTCATTGCTCTTGGGTATGTCAATCTGTGTTTTCATGTAGTGTGCACTCTTTTATCAAAAACACGTGTCACTATTTAGCTATGTTAGAAATGTTTGTAGTAATATCAAATGTAAAACATGATGTTAAACTGTTTCTTAAGTGTATCTATCTTCCCTTCTTCCAACTTCCCTTCAGTATCTTAACTCAACCTAATTTTCAGACTGAAGCTGTGGGGAAATTTTGTGCTTCTGAGGCACATTAGTCGGGTTGCTAACATACCCGATCTGTACCAGCGGGACGCCATTGAGTCTAGCCAGGTGGTCTTTTAAATTCTGCATCTCAAAGCATTGACTTAGATCTATTTTCTGTTTTCAAATGTGCAAATGAGAACCTTGAAAAATATTCAAATGAGCTCTTTGTCATTTTTAAAATTAATATTTGATTTTTACTATTCTCTCCTTTTTTTTCTTCCTCCATCGTTATTGCAGATAGACGAATGGCTAGAGTATGCTCCTATATTTGCTTCTGGCTCTCAATTTGAGGAAGCATGTGGCTACGTGGATGGATATCTTCTGCAGCACACATTTCTTGTTGGACATAGCCTCTCAATTGCAGATATTGCAGTTTGGTCTGGCCTTGCAGGTAGCTGATTCAAATATTAAAAAATGTTTAGTGCCTTTATGTCGAACTTATCTAGTATTTTTTAAGAAGTACTATCATTTTATTTGTGAGGCTGCTATTAGGAATTGCAATTAGATTAGCTTCCTGAGTAGGCTAGATTTTCCCGGGTGGCAGAGTACTGCATGAATTAAACACAGACTGAATATCAAACTCGATGGGTGTTTGAAATGAACACTGGTCTGCGTTTATTCTTTAAAAGTAGAAGGAACTATGTACAGCTTTAAATTGTTGAATCTACATGGTTTGATTTTGCATTTCGGCCTTTTTATAGCCAAATAGAATCTATGGAAGAAGAATTTGTAGATGAGTATCAGCACTGGGGTAGTGAGGTTTTTGATTGCTTATGGAAAAGAAAGTGAATAATCGTTTGGGCAGAAAAAAAGAATGTGTAGCTAGTAGTGGGTTTGAAAAGGATAGCTGGAGAAATCTTTGATTGTATCCTAGCCTAGGGGAAGTAAAGTCACATATAGCTTTAGAGAAGGCAGCGTGGTGGTTCCATTATCCGCGGAGTTTTGAACCATGTGGCCATTGATCCCTCAGGTAGTTGGTTATTAAAGAAGTTAGATATTAGCTTATTAATTGTCGGAGCATAAATGATTTCTTCCGAACTATAGCTAAAATATTTCCCCTTTATTTGGATGTATTCATATATGACTTTTTCGTTCTTGTTCTAGTCATGTTCAAAAACATCTCAACTGTTGATTCTCTGTCAAATTCTATTTCGAAGGACTGAATGGGTTAATTTTAAATTTTGAGGCAAAGTTCTGTTATGGAAAAGGTTTACTAAATAGCTCAATGTAGCACAGTTTAGGAGACCGTAATGCCTTTGGCCTTTTTATTTTTCATTAGTTCCTTCTCACATGATATATGATGTCTCCCCTTAGTTACACTATAACCTATGGGGCAATGTGTCCTTGTTCATACTAATAG